TTTTAAGATGGTTCTGGAGCAAAGGATGCCAATGAATTCTGGGATATCTAGTGTGGTGAGCTGTTCAGGAATAGTGGGTGGTCTGATATGGCCAGAATTGAATGTAACGGACAAAAGGAGAGGTGCAAGTATTAGTGAGGCGAGTTTGGTAACATATAGAGAGAAAACCCAATAGGCCTCTTAGAAGAAATTCCACCAAATAACCGGACACAACTTAGTCTTGGCCAAAAAAAGTAAGATTCAACCCATTGTACAGAGGGCGGGACAAGTTATAGGTAAAAGTATCATTGTAAAGGTTGAAGGACACTGTATCTACAACAGATAAAATAGTGGGTATTTGTAATCAGGTTAGAGCAGAACAACTTTCAAGCATTTGCAGTATTGAAAACAACACCGTTATCCCAGCAAATAATTGTTGGCCAAGGATATTGACTCATCACGGGACCTTATAAAACCGCGCATTAGCATTCTTACTCATTTTACACCCTTAACATTCTAAATAAATCAAGCCAAAGTTGTCAAAAAACTACTTGACTCAAAAGTTCATGCTAGTTTGAAGAACTGCTCTTAAAATTTTACATTAGGACACTTTTGAAAGTTCTTTCAAGTAACTTCTTTGCAGACAGTATTGACAAAACTATTCTTAGAAATTGACTCAAATAAAGTCCTGCATTTCAAGAAACGTCAGCTATATTTTTACCTTAAAAGGTGGACTGGAGTCACTTGGCCTGGCAGAAAAATCGAAGGAGATGATGAGATCAATTGCACGTTGGGGCCTCAGTATTAATGGGTAGGGGAGGTTGAAAGTGAGTCCACTGTCCACCACATGAATTTTCTTACTTTTCACATCAAGTGGTTCATAAATCCTTTCAAATTCATCTGGGTCTGCAGGAACATTGGAGACAGAAATATAAATTCAGATCTGGATTGCAGGAGGGAATGATTTTAATAACTGTCTCAAACAATGCTAAGTTCTTGCCATAGTAAAATGAGTCAAGAGAGGTACAAATATGATAGATTGTTGCGATAGGAATTAGGATACTGAGCTCTTGAGCCTGTTCCACCATTCAGTGAGATAGGCCTCAGACTAGTGACCAACTCCATCCATTCAGCAGGCTCCATACTCCTCAATATTCTTGGTTAGCTAAAGCTTACCAGTTATAGATTTAAAATCATTAATTTGAGCTAGCATTTACCACCTTTGTGGAAGGAGGTTCCAAATTCCAACACTCATTATTTGAGGACGTATTTCCTAAATCTACTCTGAATTGTCTGGCTTGAATTATAGGGTTCTATTCCTTCACATGACAACATAAGAACATTAGAAATAGGAGCTGGAGGATGCTATGTAGTCTCTCAAGCCTGTCCCACAATTCAATAAGATCATGGCTCATCTACCTCAACTCCTCTTTCCTGGCAGCTCCTCACAGCCCCCACCTTCCCAATATTTCAAAAATGCATCAAGCTCCTTGTTAAATACTCTCAGTGATCTAGCCTCCACAACTGACCTTTCATTAATCCACATTTGCACCCTCTAATCGACACAAACATCTTTAATGTACAGCCACTCTGTCCTTAATTCCAAATTCCAATAACTTCTCCACAACAGATGTTAAACCAGCAGATGTATAGAACATAGAACGTAGAACAGTACAGCACAGTACAGGCCCTTCGGCCCACGATGTTGTGCCAAACTTTTATCCTAATCCTAAGGTCTATCTAACCTCCACCCCTACCTTATACTATCATCCATATGCCTATCTAATCACCACTCTGAGTAAAGAACCTACCTCTGACGTCTCCCCTATATCTACCTCCATTCACTTTAAAACTATGCTCCCTCGTAATAGCTACCTCCACCCTAGGAAAAAGTCTCTGGCTGTCCACTTTATCTATACCTCTGATCATTTTGTACACCTCTATCAAGTCACCTCTCATCCTTCGTCGTTCTAAAGAGAAAAGCCCTAGCTCTCTCAACCTTTCCTTGTAAGACCTTCCCTCCATTCCAGGCAACATCCTGGTAAATCTCCTCTGCACCTTTTGCAACGCTTCCACATCTTTAAGTGTTATCATTTTTTGTATTCATTCGTAGTTCCTTGCTTTGTCTTTTCCCTTTCTTAAATAATGAAGGCTTATTTACAAGATATCAGAAAGAAAGATTAACAAATTGAGTTTGAAAGAGGATTTGTGTAGTCATAAGATTTTATGCAAGAAGAAAACACTTTTGAAAACTCTAGTGACACCATGTGGCATTAGGACTGGACCAACATTTCTTTTCTATCCTCTCTCCCTCAGTGCCAGTTCCATGGGTGCTGGTTGCTATGCTTTCCTTCACCATGCTAGTCAATCCACTGGGAACCCAGATAACATGCCCCCCAACATACAATCAAATAGGGTTTACAGGTATGTGATGAGGATGGGAGCAGTCACAATTTTCTTTTTCTAACTTCTCCACATCCTAAACCCGGGATGATGATATCAGATAATTCAGGATTAACCAGACATTATGATCCCAGCTGAAGTTACTACTAAACTAGTAAGATCTTAGAATGAACCCTGGCTTGATAGATCAAAGTTTTTCTTAAGTTTAATTACATGGTGGTCAGTAATTGAAACATAGTCACATGAACTACAAAGTTTCTTTGACAACAGAATAGAAACATAACACACTAAGGACAAAAATAAAATAACTATCTTGATATTGAAGACAATTTAAAAAAAAACACATCTGGAAATTCACAACAAAACAAAGTTTTCAACATGTTTCCCAACACTATCAATTTACAGAGCATCAAATTCAGAGAATTTTCCCTCCAAATCAAAAATTTAAGTACTGCTTATCTGATTGTCCCTAGTTTTCACTACGAAGTACAGAGACTTCATTCATAAATAGTCATAAAACTGAGGTTTATACTTTCTCAGTTTCTAATAATTCTAAAAGCCTCTTGCTTTGGAAACTACAGAAAAGACAGTGTTCTGAAGTGACTGCATTTTCCCTGAACTGTCCTGAAATTGAACTGGATCCTGACCCCAGTCATGACTCCTCTGAATGGCCCTAAAACCTTTCAATCTCTGGGTTTTCTAATCTAAATTCAATTCTTAATTATTCTAAACTGAAACCAAGTTCACAGCCTTTAATTTTTACTTCACTTGTCATAAACCATCACAGTATAAACAATTTTTCCATTAACATCACACAGGAGTCAACAGCCACTTGCTTTCTGAGCAATGCTGGATTCAGATCACCATTTCACAAGGACTGGGACCTTGATTTTATTTTAAATGAATTCTTCACAGAAATGAGTCACATTCATTTGCCTCTTTGTTAAAATCCACCTTCCAAAAATAACATTAAAATATATAAATTAGTACATCCTTCATCATACAGGCATTATGTCCTTCCTGGTCTATGGAACTTAACCATTCACAATGGGTGACTTTGCACCCTGAGTCATTACAGGAAATGGACCAGGGTTTGCAGTCACTCATTATTTTTCAGCAACATTACAAAATCATTTGACATGAATATACTTGAGTTAGCAGAACAAGAAAGTCATTTTTAAAATCATGTACCACTATACCAGCTCATATATCGTCGAGTTGGAAACAGGGGAGTGAAGAAACCAACTTCCCTGCACTACCCTGCTGTCAAGCAAAATTTCTTCATCTGCATCTACTACGTCATCTTATGTGCCTTAAACTAGATTGGTACTGTGTGAAATGTCTCTCAGTACCACCAGCCATCAGAGGTATGTGGTGTTTAGTAGATACCTGCAATTCAAATTGAATATCGCCAGCATTGAGTAAAGCTGACTGGCAGGAAAGTCAGGCTTTACTGAGCCTGTGGGCTGACTGGCAGTCTTTGAGCCATTCCTGGCAGCACTGACAAGCGTCTGATCAAGTGTAAAAATCACTTTAGCTATCCATGCCAGGGCAAGTAAAGCAATGTAAATTAGGGGAAACCTGCAACTCTTTCCTCAAAGGTTGTTGAGGCTAGGCCAGTTGAATATATTAAGACAGGCACCAATAGATTTTCCTTAGCAAGAGTATTAGGGATTGTGGATCCAAGACGGAAAGATAGAGAGACATGCTACAGTCATGATTTAATTGAATTTTGGAATGAGTTTGAAGGACTGAATGGCCTCCTGACGTTCAGTCCAATTACTCAGGTTTTATTCCTATATCATAAGAAACACATTTTTCCATTTTTATCAGTTTACAAAGGGAAAAGGAAAGAAAATATTTATCAAGTTGGAACAGGAAGCAAGAAAATGTGCACAGTTATCAAGATATCCACTAACTAACACAGAACAGTCAGCAAAGTTCTTTGTCCCATCAACCAGGGAATGTTAACACAAGCATAAATATTATTTTCGAGCTAAATTCTAACATTCAAGTTAACCACCTTAAAATCCAAACATCTCTTCACACTGCAATCTTGGAGTGAATACTGCAGTTGCTATTCTTGCGTAGTTCCTCACTATCTCGACACTCCTGTCTGTAGATATTTTCCAGACTTGAACATGGGCCTCCCGGCTCAGAGGTAGGACAGTATTACTGTGCCATGAAAGACCTCACTCCTGTCTATACATGCTTTTTTACATCAATCTGTTCATGTATGTTATGACACACCTCTGCAGCAGGTGGGACTTTGTCTGTGATTGTAAGACTGCTAGTCTCGTAAGATTGAATTTATTAACAAGCATCAGAAGTTTGCAGTAAAATGAAAGTTTGATATCCTTGCCTTGTCAAGTGACAAAAGTTGTAACTCTAACTCTTGTATGATTTTTATATAAATAGCCATTTATGAAGTAGACTGATATTTTAAAGCAGTTTTGCATTATCGAGTTGTTAATAGGCTGAATTTTGGCTGTGCTTGGGAACAATATATTGTAGCTGTAGTACTCTGTAACCACAGAAAAGAACAGAAGGAAAGTGCCTGCTAGAATGATAAGGGAGAAAGATTGAGTGCAGAGTTTTTACTTGGCAGCTGGAATTTGTTGTAACATTTGGAGAAGTCTGTGCTCGTGCTCTGTACATTAGACTGTCGTGATAAAGATTTATATTATTATTTGGGAACTTTGGTCCTAAAGTAAGGTAAGTGGGTGTGTTGTTTTTTTAATTCTGTGAAGCTTTGAGTTAAAACAATTTTTCAAAGAAATCATAAATACTTAAGCTAAGTTACTGGGCAGTCCCCCTACTGAGGTAATTGATGAAGTATGTACAAAGTTGAGTTTTTACAAACTATGGAAAGAGGGGCCAGGATCTAGATGTAAGTTCAGGTCAGAAGAAAGCATCCATACTAGCAGATGCGTGGCTTACTAGCCTTAAAATAGTCAACATCAGAAAAATCACTCAGTTATTGTATGTGTGTGTGTGTGTGTGTGTGTGCACATCTCTGTTTAGGAGTTGGGACATTATGTTGAAGTTGTACAGAACATTGGTGACGCCCCTTCTGGAGTACTGTGTGCAGTTCTAGTCACCCTACTATAGGAAGGATATTATTAAGTTGGAAAGGGTTCAAAATAGATTTACCAGGATGTTGGGAATGGAAGGTATGAGTAATAAAAAGAGACTTTTTTCACTGGAGCACAGGAGGTTGAGGGGTGATCTTATAGAGGTATATAAAATCGTGAGAGGTATAGATAAGGTGAATAGCAAAGCTCATTCCTGAGGGTGGTGGAGTTCAAAACTAGGGGGCATTATTTTAAGGTGAGAGAAGAAAGATTTAAAAGGGACCTGAGGGGTAACATTTTCACACAGTGGGTGGTTCGTATGTGAAATGAACTGCCAGAGGAAGTGGTAGATGCAGGAACAATTAGAACATTTAAAAGATATTTGGATAGGTACATGAATAGGAAAGGTCCAAAGTCCAAAGATGTGCAGACTAGGTGGATTGACCATGCTAAATTGCCCATAGTGCTCAGGGATGAGTAGATTAGGTGGGTTACAGGGGGATGGGTCTGGGTGGGATGATCTGAGGCTCACTGTGGACTTGTCGGGGCCAAAGGGTCTGTTTCCACATTGTAGGGGTTCTATGAAACTCATATGAATACATCAGATGAATTTAAAGAGTGAAGACAGGAATTATACTTCATAGGATGTAAGTGTAAAGGAAATGGATTTTTTTGTTATTTATGATAAGATCGTATCAAATTGCATCGTGTATTAGAGCATTTTTCTTGGGTGGGTACATTTGGCTTTGTTTTCTTTCTTTGTACAATAAACTCATGTTCTTTCGTTAAAAGTACGTTAGCAGTTTCATGTGGCTATGTTCAATGAATGACCACAGTAACCAAACTGCAAAAATAAAAGGTTATAAAAACATTTTTCACTCAGATCTGACTTGTCCAGCAATAACATCAGCTAGGATCATAACACTGTATTAGCCTATGTAAAACGGATACTGTGTTAATCTGCATACTGGTCCATGTTATGTTGGTATGTTATGATTGTTAGTTTGGATACTAGGCTTTACATACACATGCTGGATACCAGCAACCGTTTGGGGTCTATATTGTTGAATGTTTCATTTCTCTAGGTTGTGATTTATACAGAAGTTCAATCCAAAACAAGAAACATGTTATTGATGGCAGGGTTTGATCACTAAACACAAAGCAGACTGTCCAGAAAAAGCCATTGGTCTAATCACTAACCTGTGACAACTTCTTCATCCTCTTCCTCTTGTGTCACAAAGTCACAGAGAGGAGAGAGTGGGTACGACGTGTTCAGGTTGAGACCCAGCATGAAATTATGCACCTTGCCTGCACGGCCTTCTCGGGTGTTGAAGAGTGCAGTGTCACTGAACAGAGTCTTTAACATCCTCTGTACCCAGCTGTCCTGGTTATTTCTCTGGATCTCCTCTTCCATATCAGCTGCTTCACTGCCGATTCTGTCCTCTGTCACAGAGAAAGCACATTTCTGTTCATTATCAACGCTGCAATTTGAACTTGAGTAAGTTTCATTTTCATATTATTAACTTTATTACTCCATTGATTTTGAAAACAATCAGTGTTCCAATATTATCGCTACACAAAGGGTTTGAACGTTACATTGATAGAAACAGGACCAGTAAATAAAAGTCTGAAGTTCCTTGACCTGAAGTTGGAGATGGATCATTAACAGCAGCCAGTATGGTACCACTTCAGCCTGATACCTGCTAATGTATAACTAATTGGTGCAAAAATGGATTTGGAGCTTTAAAAAAATCTCTTTCTACTTAGAGAAATGTCTGGCCTGTTGGTGCACATTATTATTACTATTAATTAGAAAGCTGGTAAGCAGAGGTCAGCCCAATGGCCTCAACATAGAATTCACTTACACAGCTCAATGACCTTAATATAGAGTTCACCAGTTTCAAAATCTCCCCATCCCGGCCTCATCCCATGTCCAGCCCTCCCTCTCATTCCCAACTCCTTGACCTGACACAACTTGTCCATCTTCCTTTTCAGCTTTCCACCCCAGCCTTCCCACTGACCAATCTCCACAACCCCCTACCTGCATCCACCTATCACCATCCTACCTACCTTCCCCCAGCCCCACCCCTCTCCCTCTATTTATTTCCAAGCTCCCTTCCCCCTCCCCAGTACTGATTTGAATCATTGACTTTCCTGCTCCTCTGATGCTGCCTGACCTGCTGTGTTCCTCCAGCTCCACACTGTATCCATTCCGACTTCAGCATCTGCAGTTCTTGCTATCTCAGAGATCAGCTCTGGTCCTCTCTCACTCTTGACATTTAAACAATCTGAAACCAGTTCTCAAAATGTAACAATATCCATCATATTGTGGGCTCAGTATCTCCAAAGCTCCAGCTTGAGTGTTGGTTAGTATCTTCACAAATGGTAATAGAATTGGGGCATGACTGTGTCTCACTGAGCTGTATTTGCAGATTTCCAGCAAAGACTATTAGGCTGCCATTGGGAACAGAAATCCCTAGCTAATCTATACTTTCAGTGATGCACATGCAACGGTCAATAGAAAGCATCTCTAGTAAATTCCAGAATTTACAAAACTCGGGAATTGAAAATCAAGTTAACAACTGTTGCTACCAGCGGAATTGAGGTAGGTGGAGCCCAGTAAATTGGTTATTGTGGGTAGTACTTTTCTGCTTCCTGATGTCAGTGCATTCCTGTTATTACTGGCATGGTATCTGAGTGGCACCATTGCTAGCAGCAACTCAAGTTAACGTATATTTTACAATTTTTATTATTCACTCTCCCAGTCTCAGCATGCAAAGAGTTATCATACAGGGCTGTTGTGATGCAGTGATAGTGTCCCTACCTCTGGGTCAGCAGGTCTCGTCTCAAGCCTCAGCTGCAACAGGGGTGAGTCATGACATGTCCAAACAGATTGATTAAACAAAAGGATCACTGTTCAGTGTGATCCTCAGAAATACCTTCGCCAGTTCACCAGTCATTCAGCAAACAGGCAAGTGTTTTGCAAGTCCAGAAATTCTACTGCCTCATTTTGTAAGTATTTTAGCAAGCGCTGTTTTTTTTCTTCATACTGACATTATAAATGATAACATCCTTCACCTCCCTAAATATTCATGCCCTCATCACTCAGTGTCTATGTATCCTTTCAATTTTCTCCCAGTGCAGCGTCATACAAATTCTCCGGAGCCTACCTCCCACCAGTGTTTCCCAACCCATCAAAATTCCCAATATCCAATCCATATGTGCAAGGATCTTGCTTGCATGAAGTAGCACATCCACGTCTCCCAGGGGAAGAGTATCTTTTTGTTTGGAATGGGCCTTTTCCTTTAAATACATGCAGGATACAACAGTAGGATGACTACACACTTTAACTCTTACCTTTGGGTTGGGATTCATCATCGCTATCGGAGCTGTCGTTTCCAATTAAATGCTTGGCTTGAATTTGTGCTGTAATATAAACAGAAAAAAAAAGACACCTCAGTGGTTAAGAGAAGTAAACTACAGCTCGAGACAGATGACTCATCTGAATTATTTTATAATGTGTGTCTAAGGTCCGTGGATCATACATGAATTCTGTTCAAGAATAAAACTTTAGAATGATTTCAATAATTCTGGGCTTATTACCTCAATCATGTGAAGGTAACAGGACTACATCTTGGTTTAAAAACACTGTTAATAAGCTTTTACATTCCTGCCCAAGGCCAGGTCATATCAGAACATTTTTTTTATTTATTAATCTACAGACCGTGAGGAACACTATTTAATGTTGTACCTTTGCCGCAAGTTAAATAATTAATTTTTAAAAATTCTCATGCAGGCTAATGGTTTAGTCCCCAACAATCCACATTCTGCTCCACTTTGTAGCCTTGCATACTCGAGTATCAATGAGAAATTACAGATAACATTTTGTTAAACACAGCACCAATAAGAGCCCATTTCACCCCATTGTGCTCCATGCATATAAAGAGCTACTTTATAGAATCCCTACAGTGTGGAAGCAGAACCTTCGGCCCATCGAGTCCACACCGACCCTCTGAAGAACATCCCACCCACGCCTGTGACCCTGTGTTTCCCGTGACTAACCCACCTAGCCTGCACATCCCTGGACACTATGACAATTTAGCATGGCCAATCCTCATTACATGCACATCTTTGGACTGTGGGAGGAAACCGGAGCACCCGGAGGAAACCCACACAGACACGGGGAGAATGTGCAAACTCCACACAGACAGTCGCTCAAGGATGGGATCGAACACGGGTCCCTGGCGCTGTGAGGCAGCAGTGCTAACCACTGAGTCACCATGCCACCCTTTACATTTAACAGTTTTGCAGGGTATATGATTTACTCATTCACTGATGTAAAACATCACACTAAATTCACAAAATATGATATCTAGTTGAGACAAACAATGCTTGGCACTTGGTGGCAGAATCAAGGCTCTGGCAGTAATAATTCCTAAAATTTCTTTCACAGGATGTGGGTGTTGCCGGCTGGGTTAACATTTACTGCCCATCCATTATTACCTAATAAAACTTCAAAGTCAACCACATTGCTGTGGATCTGGAGTCACATGGAAGCCAGACCAGATAAGGATGACAAACTTCCTTCCATGAGGGCCACCAGTGAACTAGATGCTTTTTTTAAGACAATTGACATGGTCACCATTGGGGTAGCTTTTTATTCCAGATTTTCTATTGGATTAAATTTCACCATCTGCCCTGGTGGGAACTGAACTCACATTCTGAGAACATCAACCTGGGGTTCTGGATTACCAGTCCAGTGACATTATTATGTGCTACAGCTTCCCTCAGAAAAGAATAACTCCACATGGGAAGATTAGAATTAGGGTTAGCAGACTATTACTAGTGTTTAGTTTTAGTTTTGTTTTCTTTCTGTCTACTTGTTTATTTTCTGGCTCGCAGTGAAGTCTTAAATTTCTCAATGTCTGCTCTACATCTTCCTCTGCATTCCTTCCCACATCTGGCTTTGCCTTTCAAATGTTACCCATTAACTAGTTATGATGAGAGTGACAGGATGGGATTCTCTTTGGAGGGTCGGCCCATCAAGTCCATACCAAATGGCCTGCTTCCACACTATAGGGATTCTATGATTCTATGAACCCCTGTGAATTTCGATCCTTCAGCCCAAATGCAACTGACCTGTGCAAGTTCCAGTTTTCAGATTAGTTGGTTTCAGCTGTGCCGCTAGCAGAAAGCTGGACTTTAAGGGAAGCCAGCTAGGTTCTACTATCCTGCTGGAGTTAAAGGCCCCTATTCACTCCACACATTAATAATGGACACTCTTGTTACCCCAAAATGAATATAAATAATTTCCTGTGTAATGTATATTTTTTGCAACTGCACTGAAGCAGTGAGAAGTGTCAAAATTCCAATGTTTGGTTGTTTTATTCTCGGCAAGAAATGACTGAGAACCACTGCATGAACTTAGAGATGAGTTTTTATGAATAAAGTATATTTTTGAAATAAAAAGATAGTCACTTGGGTGAGACATTGATGATATTGAGTGCATAATTCAGCTACTTTAAGAAAAACAGAGGGTAAATAAAGAATGATACTTCTGGTGTGAAAATTAGCACAATCTGACGTGATGGTGCCACATGCTACAGTTCTAACACAAAGAGTTGATCATTTAGCATGATATGAGCAGAACATTTCCAGAATTGTGAAACTTTGGAATTCTGTACTCTAGAGAGTTGTGGAAGCTCTATCATTAAGGCTGGAATGGACAGATTTTTAGGTTCTCAGAAAAATAAGGAATGTGGAGAATAGGTAGGAAAAGGAATTGGAATTTGCAATGATTGTGTAGAATCTCGAGGAACTGTACAACCTGCTCTTGATCAACTCTTATGGTTTTATGTTCTGAGAAACCCTTCAGTAATATTATGAATTGCAGCATCAAACTGAACTCACAACACTGTTCCTGTTCTCTATGCATGACTGAGAAGCCATGTCATTTTGAGATTGCCCAAAACTAAATAGCTTTGATCACAGACAGACAGCTGGAAAAACTTGTGTATGTAAAGTTACTTACCCCCATTTGAAATAGGTTAGAAATAAGATCAATAATTCCATGCTGCTAGAGTCTTCACCACCACGGAAGGAAAAGTGATAATTCTTTTGGCACTTAGGATTTTAGCCATATAATATTCTACCGACATTGACCAAATTGGTGGAATTACGTTTTTATTCTATTGAAATTTGACTTGTGTTTTTGGGATCAATTTCCTGTGCACATTTGGTGGATGGGGCCTAAGATAAATTGTTTTTATTTTGCAGGAAGAAAAGAGTGCTCTGCTCTGTCATACTAGATTGAAGTTGGAGCCAAGGTAAGTTGCTGGGTAGATTAGAATGGAGCTCTGCTTTAGACATAACCACACGTGTACCTGAATGCTCGATACTGATGCCAGATGTTTGAAATGAGAAGATGCTGTTATCATTTTAATACCATGATAAACAACTTCCGTGCTTTGCAAATCCAAAAACAGGGCTTTTCAATTGAAATTCACAAAATGACTGCTGTGTATGGCAATGACTCAGCATAGTGAATTAGTGAGAGCAGCAATGTAATTTAATGTATGTTAATGTTGCAGATTATCCATTAAACATTTGATGCAATGGCAGCTCTGAAACGTGGAAGAAATGAACAAACAACACAGAAGGTGCCAATTTTTTTTTGCTCTGTTGGCAAAGTAGAAGCTGATTCAGACGTGGTGCATGACTGGTCATATGAACTGATGTTAAAATCAGATTTACATTGGCCAAGCTTCCTGTTTGAATTAGATTGCTTCTCATGATTAGAGAGATTGCAACATTTCTTTTTGAGTCACACAAATGTCTTCAGTTTTTATCAACGTTTCTCTGCCCCTCCTCCTCAACTCATTGTCAGGCCCTCCTTCACGCTCTGCATCATTATGAATGAAACTTCCCATTTTACAATTTTTTTTGTGAATAACTTCCAATTCTATTTCCTTGGTAACAATTTCACTCTGTTGCTACCTCAAAGTGGTTTTCACAAGACTGCTACCAATCTCATGTGAATACTGCTACTACAAGGTTGCACCAGCAGCATTGTCATACACTGAACAAAACCTACGCCAAGTCCATATAAGTTTTCAGTCTTTATGGTGGCACAGTTAAAATGATTCAGGAAACACAAGTGGTAATGAATTCCTGCTATGCATGGCATTAGGCATTTCGTGACAAACCAGTTAAACCCAGCTCCGAGGCGATTGTTCACAGCTCCAGCAATCCCGACCTCCAAGGTCTTTCCAACATAGGCCTGAGACAGAATCCTTGGCCTCAGAAGCAACCTTGCTTGTTAAATTTCAGACTCCACTTCAGACTCCATCTGGGTCAAACCTTCACAGTAATATCTAACTTTTACGTCTTAAACAGAAAATACTAACTTCGTAAAATGAGTTTTCAAACACAAAAGCTCATTGTGGTGAATTTCTATTAAAACAGAAAAAAGAGACAAAGCTAGTCAGTAATGAGATAATTTCAGTCAGATTGTAGGAATATTGTGGATTTCTGCAAACACACAGGCTGGTTCATTTATATTTAATAAGAGCGGTGCCTCCAAAGTAGGTTTTGAGTTTCTTTCAAAATTTGGCTTCTGTTCTGTTTGGAATGGTCATGTCTGTGGAATGATGAGATTTGTGTCAATCACATGACCCTGACATCAGTAAGAGAAATGATACCAGTCTAGATTGAACATGTGAAAAGAGAAGTCTCAGATTCTACAGTAGAGAGCTGGATTTGATAACCTATGTACAGCTGTAAATAAAGCATCCTATAGTACATAAAGATTTGATGAGCCTTACTTTAGGGGGAGACAATGACCTAGTGGCATTATTGTTAGACTATTAATCCAGAGACCCAGGTAATATCCTGGGGACCTGGGTTCAAATCTGCTATGGCAGATGGTGGAATTTGAATTGATTTCCAATTTAAAAATCTGGAATTAAGAGTCTGATGATGACCATGAATCCATTGTCAATTGTCAGAAAAACTCATCTGGTTCACTAATGTCCTTCAGAGAAGGAAACTGACATCATAACCAGGTCTGGCTTATGTGTGACTTCAGACACAGAGCAATATGGTTACTGTTAAACTGCCCTCTGGGCAATTACAGATGGGCAATAAATGCTGACCTAGTCACAGGTGCCCTCAACTCACGAATGAATTAAAAAAGACTTAGTGGTGAGAAGACGTCAGCTTCAGGGGCAGTTAATGTGCAGATGCCAATCTGCCTAAGGCAATCCAGACTGCACTCTTAATGTGTAGGCAGCAATACTGCCTTAAAGCACAAGACAATGAGATGCCACAGAAACAAAGAATCTAGGATTAAGAGTAGGCCATTTGGCCCATTGAATCCGCAGTGCCTTTCAACAGGATCATGGCTGGTCCTCTATTTCAATGCCATA